GTCTAGAGTTTAATGAGCGTTGAAGTGGTTTATTATTAAACCTGAGGAGTAGTTGAGGGCGGGTAGTATGCTAACAGCATTAATCAGTCTTCGGCTTCACCTTTCAACAGGATATATTGCAAGCAATAATGAGGAAATAAAAAATAGGAGCATTCGTAGCAATATATTCAAAACACTAGCTACGGAATATTACTATCTTTCTATTCTTAATAAACTAGTTACTATGGCTGATAGTACAACAGCTATTACTAGCTAACTTAGTAATATGCCTTAGCTTGCTCTAAAGTAATTTTATAATGCGATCTTCCGGTTCTGAAGTTTTTCTTTATAGTGCCGCCTCGTACGTAGACAGGGCGTTCACTGTACTCAAAGCCTTCAACCCTCGCCTAGTAAAGAGTTCTGTCGAACACAAATAGATGTTTGGTACAACTTTCCCTTCAGCCTTGGCCTTGCAAACGCGCACCAAAGCCGCCGTCGTCGAAGATATCCAGCAGTGAAGGATAACCGTGTAAATCCATGGCTTCAGGATAAGAACTAGGGTTGTCTGAATGACGAGATAGTCGCCAGCATTTGCTATTCTATAAGCTCGAGCTTATATATATGAAATTTTGACTCCAAAGAGGATTATATCGCATTAGTGCTTCTCCGAGTTCGTCTTCAAGTTGTTCAAGGGTGAGGTTGTGCCCTCCAACATCAGGTCTGGTTTTACCAAGCAAAGACCGAAAATCTGTTGGATTCCGTAGATGCAATCGGCAGCTTATCAGTCGGTTCGCGGGACATGGCGGTAGCGCAAAGGCGCATAAGGTCATGTCGAATCATCCCGACTATACCGAGTTTTGTCAAACGCAATACCAATTGTTCTGTCCTCAGATGATCGTTTAGCCAATAAGCCCGCCAGAGTCCGTCGCAAGCAGTTAGGATATGCTGTAACTATCGATGTTCGCACCCGCAGTTGATACCGGAAGACCTTTTGCATCCCTAAAGAGAAGGATGGCATCCCTTCTCAAATGCCCTTCCTGTAACGTCCACACAGACAAAAGCCATGCCTCCTCATCCAGCCTATTTAGCGGGGCTAGAGATTTGACTAGGGACTCTTGGTTATATCTCCTCATTTTGTTGTTTTCCTTGACCAGGTTCAAAACTGTGAGAAGCTGTGAAACTCTTCGAGTCGAGGAGTTGGAGCACGGCCCAGCCAGATGTAGACACGGTCTGCGTTTCGAAATATTTGCGCTTGCCGACCTATCTCGAGGTCGGAACCGATATTGCCTCTCTGATCAATGCATGCAATATTGATCCATAAGTGTTGAACGTGATCTTGATTAGCTGAAATGCATTGTTTGATCGTTTTTTCCAGCCCTTCGACGTCAAAATGGATTGGCTTCATCTTTTTGGCAAGGACCCAGCTATGCGCTTCATATTGATCATGCCTATCGGTATTGATACATCGGTTTCGCGGAATCGGGCCCAGGTATACGACAATGCATAATAGCGTGGAGAATACACCGTCCCGTAACGGTTTCCAGGCTCCCATGCATATGAGGTCATCGTCGGAACATGCAGAAGGCGACGAGGCCATCGTCCAAGCTTGCTCACTACAGCGATGGCGCGCCCTTTTCCATCATCTGCATCGGGTACTGTGGCTTCCATTTGTTGAACCCTGATGTAAGGACTTTGGATGGATCTGGAAATACTAGTGGAGTAGATATTTCCGGAGTGGATCGGTGTGCCAAGTTGCGACCGCTGGTTGGTGTCAATCATTACATAAGAGCGGGGTTATATATCGGGTTCCAAACGCATCCTTGTCAATTGATATCCTGTGGAGCTGAGATAGCTGTCCACCAGCATCTTCAGCCTAGACGGTTTCTATCGCGATGGATATATGAGGGCTCATCAGTTAATCGGAGAGGATTGTTATCCCGGCTCTGTGTATATAGTCTCATCTGATCTCGCCCCAATACAATAGAGCTTCGCTCTCCTGAATCCTCTCCTGAGCTCGATTTTCCTCCACAGTTTCTAAATTTTCTGCTACCCTGGTGCTCGTCTCGTGGCACTAAGTCTCTAAGCGTTCGACTCATGGAAGCACAAAGCAATACCGCAGCTTTTCACGCGCCTCCTCCGCCACCCACACCGCCTGGTCCCCTCCCACCTCCAATAATATTCCAGGAACCGATCTCCACATGCAAGCAGTGAGATTGGATCAGCTGATCTCAAGTACCTCATGGCCTTACAGACTCCTCCACATCCCTTCCATGACATCATATATTCGACAAGGAGAACGGACCTACAACGGTATTGATTCGCCCGATTATAATATCATCAGCTACACGTGGGGGTATTACATGGATAGCACTCGAAATGAGCCACAGTTGGACGCCCGCGGAATAGACTGGCCCATATCATTAATCACAGCTTCCCATTTTACCGCGGAGAACTTCAGAAGCGCACTTCAGAGAGTTGCCCAGGGCGTAAAATTCCGCTGCGACTGGGTGTGGGTTGACGTCGCATGTATCCCGCAACCACATGACGACGAGTCCGAAGAAGCCAAACGCATCCGCGGCGAGGAAATTGGACGACAAGTGGAGATATTCCACACAGCCAAAGAAACTTTTGTTTGGTTATGTTCGATGACGAGTAAAAATTTAGCCAGTAGTCCGAGGGGTCCCCAGACCTTCGACGACTTCCTTATGCACCTCAACAAAGGATATAAAAGATTTGGGAACCCGGAGGCCGCTGCAAGTTACTTGAAGATCTTAGAAGAGAAAGCCATGGCGTTCAAGACTTGGTCAGATAGGATTCTTGAGCATCCGTGGCTACAATCGCTGTGGACAGTTCAGGAGATGGTTCTGCGACGTGACGCGTGGATTCTCCTTGACGATGGCTTATTTAAAGTACACGCTGGTGACGTCTACGACGAGTCCGACCTGCGAATGGGTCCGTGGAGCTTGATACATTTCAAGAATGACATCGTTGCTATGCGCAGTCTTCTATACGATCCTGGAGTGGAGTATATGCTTGGAGACGCTATGGCCATGGCTCATACGATTGAAAAAGACATGGTCTCTTCTGAGCAATTCTGTTCCCCGATGGTGCACTTTGAGATACTCTTATTAAGAATGGAATGGAAGGGAATGGATCCGCTCGATATACAATGCCCACACACTGTTTACGCAATAGCTAGCCGTCGACGAGTAACAAGACTTCCAGATCGCATCCATGGTATCGTCCAGACATACGGTATAAGTTGTTCTGCTTTCCCTCCTGGAGAGACCGAGGAAGAGCAACTCCAGTCGCTAGAAGACGAATTCGGCGCGAAGCTAGTAGAAAGAGCGCCGCTTCTCTCGCAAGTCTTTATACATGGTTCGGAGCACAAACATCCTCGAAGATCCTGGCTTATCACCCAAGGGTGTAAGGTCGATGACCCTTACTGGGAAAGGTTCACTACAAAATACGGTGTCGAGCATCTTTTCAGAAGGATGCAGGTTGTTGAATAGCAAGTCGGAAGTGAACAGCATAACATAGGCCTTCAACTTATTGGAAAAGCGTGGTCGTTGGATGCATTCATCGAGGCTTCTACACCTAATAATCAGTCTGTACGGCCGGGGCGGACAGTCTTTGAATCATTCCGTCCTGGTCTTCCAGAGCGCTATAAAGGCCTGATGTTGGACCGACATGTCTCCAAGATGGTTCTGGGGAAGTGCATCGACTATTTTAGTAGCCATGAGGACATGTCAGATGCTGTTCAACAACTATTTAGACACTATCAAAAGTATCGTAGTCCTAGAGATGATGAAAACGTAGTAGATGGGCCGGAGGAGATGAAGCAGGACGCTGTGATACATGTTGCTTTGCTCGGTTCGGGCTCAATACCCGCCACACCCGTACTCAGCTATGTGGGCTTAGTTCTCGCGCCAAAATCAACAGTGCCGTGTGCTACTGGTACCAAGCCAAATGAAACCGCAAATGGAAGACAAAATATGATATGGGAACGAATCGGACTGTTTTGGTGGCAGGAAATCTATTCTAGGCCGGGGGAGATTCGTCATGACATGCTTCCGCCAGCTTTTGACTTCGAATGGACGATCGTCTAAGAGACTAATTGGTGGCGTCGTGCCTTATTTGGATTTCCAAGTACGCAAGGTATAGGAACAAGAGTACATTACATATGTTCCGTTACGATGAAGGGGTGTCTGCTGAGGGTGGTAGAGGGTTATGGACTAAATGTTTTGACTGTAAGTCTTCTTTCGGAAAAGGTCGATCGGACATAATCAAACTGACAGCAAGCAGAAGGAATCTGAAGACAGCATCATACTTATCAGCAGAACGAAGTGCAAAAGAACGGCCGATTGGTCGATCATGCGGGTGTACACACAACTCCGACTGGAAGCAATGGAAGATCAGGCACTAATTCTTTGGTCGTGCGACGACCCAACCTCTTCCACGGTCACCTTCACTACACGCCGTTTTTCAAGAGCTGGGTGCGCACTGGTCTTGTACCGAAGAAAAACTTGTTATCAACGCGGCGTTTTTACAGTCCCAGGCTGCGACGGGGGGAAATGCAAGGTTGGTTGGTTGGTATTGATTTTGGTCCTATAGATTTTTATTTACATAAGGCCTCCTATGGGGCATAATAGACGTGCTGAGCACCTTTTCATAAGGGCATTTTTTGTTGTAGCTACTCTCCCGCAGAGAGCCTGTCCTACCTGTGCTTTCCTCCCTTTAAAAGACGCTAGTTTACCTAAGATGCCTACTTAAGCCGTGCTATACCCCACCCCCCCCCTAGGTCTACCGCTAAGTCTAATTTTACCCTCTCTTCCCTTCATACTACGCTTTAGTAGTAGAATAGATATACCCGTACCTTATTAGAAAAATCTTAGTAGGGGAAACCTATAAGCTTAAATAGGTAGTAATAATTACTTTACTAAGGAGAGAAATAAAGGGTAGTAAATTTTAAGTATATATCAGATGTAGAGAAAGCCTTAAAATTTTATAATGTAATTATGTAATAGGAGTGGGATTTAAACCTACGCTTTCTCTTAAAAGCTTTCTAAGGCCGCAGCACTCTACCACTGAGCCATCCCACTAGGAAAAATGTAATATATCTGGGAAGTCTTATAGACACACCCCGGCTATTGAAGGCTAGTTACTGCGCAATCAAAAGCGCCTGTGCAGGATCTATTCGCCGTCACTCCTGAGAACTTGTATTGTAAGAACAGAGGCCACATAGTATCCGAACATGTGAGACCTTCGGGCGTTCATGTCATCCCGCTTCCTCTAAGAAGACCACCAAACACAAAAGTAGTCTTGAAACATTATGTAGATGTATTATGATTATAGAAGTAGGGGAAGACTTCTGCTATTCAATATCTGAACTGATTAATTACGCGCTTCACAATTCTCTCGGTTCAAGAATATTGATTTGTGACTTGGACTGATCAGTGATCACCGTCTCTCACGGTAGCAAGGTCTCGGAAAATAAGCTGACAACGATACTTAGTGAAGCTCATCTCAGTGGATTCAGCATAACTCGCCCTCATCTTTGAGCTTTAATAGTATCACGATCTGGAACAGCATATGTGCGACCTTAACCCATCACGTGATTAAAACACAGGCCTAGAGAATTCAACTCGTGTGAAGCTAGATGCCTGCTAAAAACTTAGCCCTCGTAGCCATCTATCTGATTTCTTCAACTCGCGATGGCCGCAACTCCAGGAACAGCTTATTTCCCGAGACCACTTGTCCACGAGATGTCGTTTACCATCACGAAAGTTGAACAAGAACGCTGAGGAGGCATAAGGTAACATTGTGAGGCACTTGCAAAAGGTAGCTATTCCTAGAAACCGTTCTCTCTGTTCTCACCACCCGCTTCCGCCCTCTAGCGCCTGATTCTCTCTGAAACCAAGTACTAAACCCCCCAAAATACTTCACCATTACGATTTCTAGAAACTGGTCCCTCTGCCCCCGCCTCCAGCTTCCACCTTTTAGCACCTGATCCTCTCTGAACCGAGTACCAAACCCCTGTAAAAATCCTCCAACATCAAATCAACATTGTGTTAACAGTGCAGAATGCTCGTGCCCCACAAAACTCATCCAGATCATTAGTACACAAGCTGACCGGTGGTAATTCCTGCAATGATAGCTTCCAAGGCCGATTGCTTCTTCTTGGCAGGCTTCGGAGCTTGGGGTTGCTGGGGCGGTGGCTGGACGGGGCGAAATTCGCGTCGACACATCTCCAGGTGATGCTGCCAGCCCTCCACGAACATAGGTACGGCATTGTCGTTGCCGCTGTCCTTGACGCCATTCTTGCCTACACCGTAGTAGGTCTTCTTCGATTGAGTAAAGTCATCCACGAGCGCAGCTTTGCGCTTCAGGCCCGAATGGGCGATTTCCGAGCGGGGGATTTCCGCTTCCTTCCCGTATTTCAAGTCCAGGTACTTTTCGATCCGCTCCTTCTTCAACCAGGCGTTGATGGCTCCTTGGGTCTTGAACTTGTATTCTCGCGAACCGCTGCCCAAGGCTGTACTGTCGAAGAGCCGATGCTCTGCTTCAATGGCTTCTTCGACCATCTCGTCCATAGTCATCGCGCGCTTCAGCTCCCTTGCCAATGCCTGGAGGTTCGTGTTTGCCATGTTGTCGAAGATCTTGACCACCACGACCTGCCTCTGACGCATATCGACGTGGAACTGGTGGTCTCCCTTCTTGGGGAGCACGCCGACCTTCTTCTGGTGATACCTGGTCCAATAGATCAGGTTTTGGAGGTGGACAGGAAGTCCTTTCTTGAATGTGTTGATGGCTTCGATGAGCTGGGCACGGAGATCTTTGGGCTCATTCTTGGCGAAGCACTGGATCATGACGCGAATCAGACCCTCTCGCTCGTCGCCCGGGACGTCAAAATAGCTGTCCGGATTGAATGTGCGCAACTGTGGTAAGAACTTCCGGAGTTCTTCGTCGGCATACCAAACGTCGTGTTCGTACTCAGACTGGAATATCGGACGCGTGCGTTGCTGGAGGGTCTCCATGGGTGCCTCCTGTACTGGGAAGAAGGTACCGCGTACTCTAAGCTTCTTCTGACGCTTCGGCGCAGGGAGACCACGCGAAGAATCTTTACCGTCCTGGGTATCATTTTCTCTAGCTCGCTTTGAAGACGACGGAGAGGGATTCTGAGCCTTTGGCTGACTATCTGACGGAACCGTGCCTGCCGCAAGCGGACCATTTGCAAAGGCGACTTTAGGAGTCGATGGCACTGTTGTAGTCGTGATCACAGTGCTTGTAGGAACCGCTTGATTCGTCGAGGGTACCCTGCCTGTCGTCATATCGTCCTTTTCGAAAGCAGCTTGAGCAGTCGACGGTACTGTGGCTGTCGTAATCGGGGTCTTCACGGGCACTGCTAGAGTAGTCAAAGGTACTGAGGCTGCCGCGCGAGGAGTATTGAGCTGGTGCGATGCGTTGGTCACTGTTGCGCTGACATTGTCGATCAGCGTCTTATGGAGGTTAACTTGAACAATGGTGTTGTCGTTCATCTCCGTGTCCTCCTGGTCTGGAGTTGCGTGCCTCATCACCACATCATCGACAGCGCTCCGAGACTTCTCTTCCCCAAGGTTATTGAAAGCTCCTGCCATCAATCCTTCGAGATCACCGCCCATCTTTACGTCCGTTACTTCTGCAGTCGCTGATGGATCATGCTCTCTAGAGACATATGGCGCTATGTTGCACGTGGTACCCTCTGTGGTATTATCCTGCATGACCTCATCTTCGCGAGCCATATCGGATTCTTGGACATCCTCGCCCATGGGGACATCGAGCAGTTCTGAGCTTATGGCTGGTGTATGTGCAACGTAAGCTTCTGAGGCCTTGCCGTGCGGAGTATCATCTGATGTGTCCATCTCCTGGGCCTCATATTCGCCGATCATCTGGGCTTTTTTGATATCTTTCAAAATGATGTCAGCTGATGTTCAGGTTGAGGGTGGCACATACGAACCAGAAGCTTCCGAATCATTGCTAGGCGTGATTTCCATCTGCTGGAACTTATCTTTGTCGGCCGGGTTTGTTGCTTCTGAGCAGACGCTCGTTGCTAGCGTGCTTGTTGGCGATGGCGGCGCAGTGATGAAGTCAACGCTCGGTAGAGTCTCAGGCGAGGATGGTGGGCTTGAAGTAGTCTCCGCAAAGAAGTCTTGCTCGACAGGCGGCGGCAATTCCCAGAACTTCTTAGAGCGCATTTGGCGCGTAACAGATTCCATATCTTCCCAGTAGGTGCCCCTAGGTGCTGGACACCGAGGAACTGTGGGGATCGGATCCTTGGTGACGTCCATCCGAGTAAGGAAGTATTCGCAGGTCTTATCTGCGTCGTACTCCAGACAAGACTCAGGCTCGGCCAGAGAGCACTCGTCAGCGGCCTTGGACAGTGGCTCGCCTGCATCATGGTTGTCGTCGTTGTCGCTCTCATCTGGCTTCTGGTCGGTGAGCGCAAACTTCTGGGCCCAGAAGGCAGACGCGTCGACAATAGCTGCGCGAAGGACCTCAGGCACTTCTGGGCTCTCACCACCAGCGGGCGTCTCCTTCTTCAGTAGCTGCTGTGTCACGACGGCGACAGCTTCCAGGAGTTCATCATTGTCGGGTGCTGATTTCAACACAGTTTTGATTGTCTCTAACATGATGGCATCGGACAAGCGCGAGATATCGGCGCCATCGCGCACGGCGGTAAAAGGGCGAATTGGCATTGTGCAAAAACGCGTCAAGATCGCGGCAGTGAATAGCAAAGAAAGGGTTGAGATCGGGATGCGCAGCCGAAGTTGACAGAACTTGTTGTGCTCCGGCCGCGCGGGTGAGTGTGGGCGAGTGTGGAGAGTGAAGACGGAGGTGGGGAGGGCGGATAGATACACTCGTGAGACTGCAGGCTAGGAGCGTTTGCGTGTAAAGTGACTTGCTAAGACATACGGCGCTAATGCGCCGCGAACCGTTCGCGGTAGCCTAGAATCCTTGTTCACGGGCTGCGATAGGCTGCAAATGGCGGACAGTGATCGGGCAGTCTCTCTGGAGCGGTATGGTGGTCACAGGAGCGCGCAGCGCAGTCACTGCGCTTTTTTTTAAACAACGGGAAGGATTGTGTATCTACTATTGAGGGGTCAAATAGCTACCAAACGGCCATCTTGTCAGGCGCCGTATCCCCCTTGGCCACTCTATACGACGATTCCGATTCGCCCAGATTTGTTACCGCAGAGCATGTTTTCGGCTAGTGAGGGACTCACACAAGCCAGAAGGCATTCCGTAGGTCGAAGTTAGTGTTAACCATTGCTCAGTTTTGTCAAGAAAGACGTAAGAAAGACGCATGCTACCTAGCAAGGTTGGAACAAGGTGGACACAGCGGATGATGAAGGTATTAGTTGATTGCTATTATATCAGCGAGTAGCTCTGAAGTACATATTATGGTGGGCACGTGTCGGAAGATTATGCACAACTATCTATCATACATGTACAATGCACTCATAGGATGCACCTATATCGAGACAGTTTGAGTCACTTCATCTTCGCTCTCAGCTTCCAAGCCGAAGAAGACCTTCAAACCATGCTCGCTATAACTATCCGTTATCTCATTCGGTAGCTCGTAGCATTCTGTAACAGAGTACATTCCACAGCCTCATAACGTATCCTGCTCGAGCCTCTTTCCCATTGTTGACTGTGGGTCAGGACCACTAGACCGTGTTGCGTCCGATCTTTTTCCACGGCAAGCCCGTCTTTTCTTCCAGCTTCTCCAGAATAATATTCCGCAGAAATAACGTTGCGTCGATGTATTCTTTGAACCATGCCTGTGACGGTATGTCGGGAACCACCTGGGGGTTTTCGCGGGAAGCCTGTCCATGTTTTGCGGCAAACTCACGTTGCAGCCTCTGTCCGTCCGGTGTGTGAGAAAGCAGCAAAAGTACGATGCAGTACTTGCCGACATTCATCTCGCACTCGTGGTAGAGAAGGGTAGCTTCACGGACTTGACAAAGTTGTCGGTACACACCATCCTCCTCAGTAGCCGCAGCGCCGTCAGGAGACCTCTGACGTAACTCCCGGTACGTGTCAACCTCCATTCCGAAGAAAT